TGAGCAATTTTACTTTGACCTTCTCTTAACTCAGTTTGGGAAAGCATCAGCTTCAAAAAAAAAGAAAGAAAATTCAATAACCGTGGGTGTTTGCATTAATGTTGCAACAGGACAACAAAAACATCTGGAAATGAGCAATCAACGTGTTGGAGGAATGATCTGTGCTTTTGAATTATTAACAACGGTGCGCATGCATGGTTGACACACACACACACACACACACACACACGGAGCAGAAACAACTGGTTTCCGGTGCCCTCCGGAATTGGAGTGACCTCCCCCCCGCCCGCTCTGGACGCATGTGGAGTTGGATCCCTTTGAACATTCCAGCTGGGCACCAAGGCATCGCCGGCCGCTAATTGCCGGAGGAGGCGGAAAAGAAGCGGGCCCAGCGGCCCAAAAGAGCCTCGGAGCTTCGCTCTCCGGCTCTCCTCCTCGCGCATGCTTCCGGGCGCCATCGCTGACCCGGACGACCAAAGCGAGCGAGCGAGCGCGAGGAGCGAGGCCAGCGAAGGCAGCCCGCGGCGCTAATCCGCACTCAATGGCTGACATGCTCGCACCCCCCCCTTCAGCATGATCACACTGACACACACTCTTCTGATGTTTTCTTATTTTTTGGGGGGAGGAAGCTTTTCAGGAGATGTAATTCGCGTTTGGAACCAATCTGATACAGGCTGTCCGCAAAGTCTCTTTACAATTTCAAACAAATCGACCTTCTTGCTTTAAGTTGTGGGGGAGAACACAAGGGACAGTCGTCCTGTCTCCTGATTTCTTTGTCCAGTTCCCCAACTTCAAATTTAATCGAGGTTTGTTGTCTTGAAGTGTTGAGTTTACCCACCAATTTTTTTGGTTCCCCTTCTAAAATAACATCCGTTTTTTTTTTTTGTTTTTTTTTTTCATCCAGCTGAGGGAGCTGCCGTTTTGGCCTGCGCCGCCACCTGCTGTTGAATGAAACTGCCATCAAAGTGCCTTCGGGTGGCCCTCGACCAAAGCCAGACAATGGGGAGGCCGTGACGTCAAACGGTGGAAAGACTCACTGCGTAAGTGCGCTTCACTCGCATTTCTGCATTTCCTCCCCTCATCATCCGACATCTGCGTATTGCAGAATTGCGCAACCTCACTTTACCCACAATAGCTACAAGTGCCATTGTTTATGCTGTTTACATTGTCGAGACTGTTTATAATGTTCAGATGACATATGTCTTCTATACAGTGTAGCTGCTAACTTGTCTTCGCTGTGTGTGTGTTTAATGCACAGCATGTTTGCACTGAGGATGGAGAGGAAGAAATTTCATCTATGCTGCATGTCATACGTAAAGCATATTTGACAATAAAGATGACCTTGACCTTGATTTCACTTTCAAGTGCGGTCTTTAGTTTCAAGTCGCCTCTTGCACGGGCGCCTTTGAGCTGACAAGAAACGTTGGCTTGTGCGAGGCGTTGGCCTGCTGCTGTGTGTTTATGCCGCGCGCACGCGCCCGCGGGCGGGCGCACCGCAGAGAAAGCGGCTTTGTGTCAACTGTATCAATACGTTCCCCCCCCCATTTCCCGACGCCCGCCCTGTAAGAGATGAAAGCGAGCCGGAGACGGAGAGAAAAGTGAGCGCAAGGCCGCGAAAGGAGAGGAGAAGACAAACCGGGAAGGGATACGTGCTCTCCCCGGAAAAGGAACGAAGCCCGAGGAGGTGAGGAGAGAAAGCGAGGCGCCACACCAAAGAAGGCCAAAGTGGGGAAGGAGAAACGCGCACGCCAAAAAAAAAGAAGACGGGAAATCCAAGTTGAAATGGAAAAATAGAATGCGGGGAGAAAGTGAAAAGGAAGGAGAAAGGCTTTGTCCAGAAAAAGGAAAAAGTCCAGATGGGAAAAGAGAAAGAAGGCAGGAGAGGAGAGGACGAGGGAAGGGACACGGAGGCCAAAGACAAGAAAAGGAAATGAAAGGGCGGGAGCAAACCGGAAGAGCTTTGCTCCCGGTTGGTCGAGATTACCATCCGTGTGGATTCGCTGTCACCAAAGGCAAACCGTTGGACCTTTTTCTTGCTGTCAAACATCTAAGCGGGCTCATTCCAGTGCGCGCGTGTGCACTGGGGGCGCGCCCCGCTGTGTCTTATTTTAGAGACGCGCGTCCCAGTGGACACACAACACTAATACAACACTCGCCACTCTCGGGTTTTTTTGTTTGTTTCTTTATTTTACTCAGCCATGAGTTCGAAATCTAACATCCTGAAACGATAGATACGCCTCCAAGATTTCCTCCAGGACAGCTTCAAACAAGAGCCTGCGGCAGCCTTTCAGAACAGGCCGCCTTCAAAATAAACGCTGGCGCACAAGAACGAAAAAAAAAAGGGACCATCATTGGGACCGTACGAGCCGAGCCGGGTCGGCTTTGCAAGTGGGACGAGCGAATGGGAACACGAGCCAAACGACAGGGGCAATTGTTTGTTGAGGAGAACGCGTCCAAAGCACTTTCCCACACCCGCGCAGAGCAATCAGAGGGCAAGATGGCGGCCGAAGCCGTGTTATTTTTTTGTGCAAACGTGTCACTCCGACACGCCGCTTGGAGCACAGCCAGCACGCCGCCAATGGGAAGCGTCCATTCAGTGCCTCGAAATGTGTGGGGGGGGTTTTCGCCACCCCCAATTCTTTTGAGCAGCATCGACAAAAGGAGGTATTGATGCGAGCAAAGACTGAAACTTTTTCTGTGCCGCTCCTCCGCCTAGCTGAGGGAGCCCCAAAATGGCGCCGCTTTCTCTTTTCAAGGGGCCGAGGCGCAAAGAAACTCCCAATTCTCGGCGTGTTTCGGAAAAGCCGATAAACCCGCTGACTTTTCGACCACGTAACAGCAGTCCGGATGAGCCTAAGTGGCCAAAATCACACGTGCGACGTCATCCGTCAACAAGCGGTTTCCAGGGCAACCCCACTGGCTGGCACAACAAGGAAAGGATTCGATTCCTCTCACATCCCGCTTCTTCAATTCCACATTATTTACTGGATCTGGACCCAGATGATTTGGGGTCAAACCACTTTGGGTCCGTCGTGGTGGTCGTTTCGGACAGGGGAAGCAGCCGCACGAGATATCTTTCCACATTTCGTGGCTTGCTGCGCTGTCTGCGGTTGAAGACTGACTGGATGTTTTTAATCCTAATAATCACAAGGTGGTTGATGATGTCATGGTACGCATTAATAGCAGAAAATACATTGTGGCTTGAGCGTCTGGGTTGAACACCCCCGCGGCTTTTCATTTGTCACATTCGCCACCGGCCAGTCCTGCAAACTACAATTTAAAAGAAAAAAAAAAAAAAAAAAGGCCCAACAAGCCGAGGGCAGCCCGGGGCAAATTAAAATGAGGTCATCCTCACAACAATAAAGCAGCTGATTATTTATTTTATTTTTTTTTAAACGTTCTCAAAGATGACATCACAGACAGGGAACCCGCGGCCCAGAAACTCTCCGTTCCAAGATCGGGCGTTGACTTGAAGCGTGCCGTCACTTTCAATGCATCGTTTCATCTGAGTTTGGAAGTGTCGTGCAAGCTTTTTCAAGTGCTCGAGTGTGAGCGTGGAAAGGGGAAACGGCCGTACGCAAACAACGAGTTCCTCTTTTGGCTGAAAAACGTGAGAGAGGGGACAAGAGAACTTGTTTGCTTGGATTGCCACAAATATGTCAGGAGTCTTGATCACGTCCATCCTCACTGGAGGAATTTGGTGATACTTTGCCCACTCGTGGCATCGTGTGTTCCTTTTCATGGCAAACATCCAAAATATGTTGTATGCATTTTGTGACGGGGCCATGCCTTCAGTGGACTGGGTCAAAAAAAAAAAAAAAACCCCGCCAGTGGCTTAATCATTGAACGCAGCCTTCCCACAATGAGTGTGCAGCACAGTCATATGCTGTTTTGGGTCACGCTGGTTGATGTGGTGATGAAGCAGGAGGGTGGGGTCACTTCATGTTTTTTTTGTTTTTTTTAGGTTGGTGGGTAGTGGAACTGGTGAATGCTTTTATTTGATATTTGGAGTGACTCCACCCTGCCTCCACATGAAGCTTGTGTTTGAACATTGTGAGCTATATGTAGCAAACTCCCTTTCAAGTGGATAGCGAGTGATTCCAAACACAGTTTGGACAAGTTTAACTTCTTTTATTGAAGTATAACATAGACATATATTTTTTTTTTTAATGGATGAATGAGTAAAGGGAGTGAGTCGGAAAAGATATGGTGGGCGTGCGACAGGGCGGGTCAAAAGGACCCGAGCCGACCACATGATATGTAAAGTCGGGCTAATTGCAACCTTGAGTAACTGAAATAGCCGAGGCCGCCGCGCTAAACACAGAGTGCGCCCAGGCAGCGTCCCTTCCTTGGCCGCACAAAGCAGCCAGTGTGCAAAGAAGAGAGCGCTTTCACTGCTACACGGACATTTTTGAGGACGCCGTAGGCTGAGGGTTTTTTTTCTTTACGCGCGCCAGCGGAAGGTTGCACCTCCACAGGATGCCATTTAGTCGAATCGAACACAAACCTCCTCACATCTGTTCAGATGGTGATGATGTTCGACGTGCTCTTTGCGCCGGGGAGTGTGGCGTAGCATGAGCGCTAACAATCAGATCGACCCAAAAGCAAGAGTTTGTCCTCATTATGGACACTGTAATTCAATCAGCTCGTTATAGCAGGACTAAAACAATCGACTCATTTTAGGATGAGCAAATAGCATCGGCATGTCTGCAGCAGGCTTTCTGCCCGATGTGGTTTGCTTGCAAAACTAATTGACAGAGTTCCACAAAGTTTGCTTTTAAGAAGCCATCCTGTTTGGGCAATAATGTGGATGAAGGTGTCAGTGAAGGCGTTTGTCGCCAGCCCTGCCTCTCGGACGGTGTTTGCGCAGTTCCTTGTACGTCGTCGTCGCCCAACGCTCAGCGAGCGAGAGAAGCCAAACTCTTCCAAACAAGGTCATAAACCTACATAACGGCGCGTCGCCAACTCGGCGCCCTCGCCCCAATAAGAAGACTCGCAAGTCGCTGTCAAAGCATGTTTATTGCCACCAACGTTAAAAGAAACAACCCGACTGGTAGGGTCGCGCTGGCCGCAGAACGGAGGCCTCCGTCTCCTTCTCGAGGCGGCAGTCGAGAGGCTCGTGTCGAGCGGCCGCGAGACTCTCAAACGAACGTCGAAACCGACCTGCAAACCGGCTGCAGGGTCCGCAATGTTTGCGTTTGGACAGCAATGCAAACAGCCGCTTCCAGCAAACCGACGAAAGTCGCTCATACGACCCGAAGCAGTTCGCAATCTGCGGGGACATCAACCTGCGGCGGAGGACCAATGTTGAGAACCACGGACTGACTCAATACAGATGGAAATACCTTCCTCGGTCTTTATTTCTACAAGGCTGCCACTTCCGTTGGAGCTTCTTTGGTTGCCAACTCAGGAGCTGTAAACAGTTGCTGGAGGTTCCCAGAGCCCTCTCATTCATGTTTACTTGCCAGCCCCCCCCCCCCATCCCCCCTCGCCCTTAACTTTCTCTTTTTGCAATGCTTCTGTTTGCTCAGAAATTCACATCGCATGAAAAGTCCGCTTGTGTTGGCGTTACAAAATGTGCAAAAAAATCCAAAATAAGGCAAGCTTTTCAAAGGCCGAGCTTGCTTTTAAATATGCAATTTGTGAACAAGACTAAATTCATCTCTCCTCTGGCTATTAAATAGTCAAACAAAGTACAAACGCGTTAAATATCAGAATAACAACGATAAAAGGGGCAAATAAATATTAGCTTGCGCCCGTCGGGACCTACCAAAAATCTTCGATCAAGCTGATCGACTTGTCTGTGAGCATCTCTTCACTTGTGACGAATTTGTAGCCGAAGAGTTTGAGGGTGGGGCCGCAGACCTTCTGGACCACCTGCACGATCTCGAAGGGCAACCTGAAGCGCCACTTCTCCACTTGCTGGCTGGAGTTTTTCTGCGTGGAGTAAATGCCGCCGGTCTCCTCGGAGGCCCGCGTGCTCTTGAGGATCCAGGCTTTGACCTGCGGCGCGAAGGGGATCCCGGTGAACCGGTACATCTCGGCCGCCTTCCTGACGGGGAAGCGCGCCACGTCCTCGTAGCGGACCAGCATGTAGCGGCCGCGCAGCCACGCCGGCCGCCGCAGGCCCACTTCCGCCGACGTCCTGATGCTGTTGCAGTTGCTCTTCAGCTTCTTCACCTCGTCGTCGTCGTCGATGGGCATGTCCCGGTTCTTGGCCCACTGCTTCCAGTTGTTGTACTTGGCGGCGAAGGCCACCATGCGGGAGGCCAGCACCGCCCGAGGATCCCGGACCAGCTGGATAAATTTCACGTCGAGACGCGGGTCCTCGGCCAGAGGACGGAGAGTTTCCAGTTGGCGCACCCGCACCGACTTGATGGCCCTGTGCTCCTTCCGCAGGCAGGCTTCGGACGCCGCCGTCAGGTTGAGGGGCCCGCAGCGCCTGTTCCTGCAGTGGTAGCGCTCAAAGACCCCTTTGACGAAGGGGCCGCAGACCGCCTCGCCGCACAAGGAGCTGCTGGATTCCCTGCGGAAGAGCGAGGCGGTGACGTGATCCACGGGGAGGGGGTCGATGAAGCTCTCCAGCAGGGAGAAGTCGCACAGGAAGAGCTGCCGCAGCACGTCGCGGTACGCCTTGGCGGCGGCTGTGGCGTTGGTGCCGCCCGTCTCCAGCGTCAGCGTCTTTTCCACGTGCCACAGCGGCTCGTACAGATAAAACATGTTGTCCACCTGCTGGTTAAAAAACTCGCCCACAAAGGAAGAACCGGTCCTGGTGGTGGCCAGAAGGAGGATGTCTT